GGAAAAAAATAAAATTAATTCTTTTTTTCCCCCCATTAGATTTGTGTGATTCTCAAAGAATTGTAAGTGAAATCATTGATCGGAGAGAAGAATGAAATAAAATTGTATTCCATGTATAACCTTGTTTCTCATCTGCGCGAGACTTCAGTACTTTGATCATGATACTCCCACGAAAATGCAACTTGGATTTGTTATGCGACGGGCGGTAAAAAAAATGAAGATAAAAATAATATTTTTTAGCTTACAAGTCGATAAATTACGCTGAAATAATTTTCATTTTCGGCTTCTGTTCATTCGGCGGGTTTGCGAAACAAGGGATAATAAAAGTTTGGCTTTACCGGTATATACCCAGCTTGTACCATAAGAGTACTATAACCATACACTGTCAGACAAAAGACATGGGAATCAGTCTTTCTGATCGGCACTATTCTTTTCCCCGAAGGCTGCTCTGAAGTTTTGTTTTTGTTTAAACAAAGAATGTTGGTGTGGTGCAATTATCTTGTTTACACATGCACAGATCTCAATGTTTTTGAAAGAAACTTTGGATCAGAATTTTTTTTTTGACCTTTTGACAGAAATGATAAAACATTTCCAAAATCGCGACAGTCATGCCCCTCTGTGTTTTATATGGGTGACGCGCGCTGCGTGACGAATTGGTGCTTTACAGAGTTGGATACCGCGTCTGACACTATTGGCGTCCTAACAGTAACAACTGGGAACTGGTTTGTCAGGTTATTTGTTTGTAGTCATTGTCAAATTAGCAGCAGTATGGGATGACTAGATGGTCGTTATGGGCACCTCACACACAAATATATTCTCTATTTTAATGTTTTTGTCTAGAAAGTATTGTACAATAAATAGAAGACAATTTACAAATAATCTTACCATGGTCACTTGTATAACCAAAAGAGCAAGTGTATGTCAAATGAGCTATGCAAATTTCCAAGTTTGATTCTTTAAAACCATGCAACCAGACAATGATTGTTTCTACTATGTTCAACATTTTCACATTGTTCTCAGTCTGAAGTAAGGTGACGATTAATATCTGCGAAAAAAAGTTATATTTATAGAAAAAAATGTGGAGATTCACTGTGAAATAGATATAGATTGCACATGGAGACACGTTGATCTCATCGTACCACAAACATTGCTGCTGTCAATAGACTTGGTTCCAGTGTCCTGCTTCTGTGATTCCTTGCATGTATAACAAAATGTACCGTTGAGGGCGGTAAATTCAACTGAAATTGGGTCTATATCATGCACCATGCATATGGATACACATCAGACCACTAATGCACACCGGTGAAGTAGTATGATGACATCATAGTGTTCTGGTCATTCTCTTGATGAAACCTCTGAGGGAGTTCTTTCTCTCGGGGTCTGCACTCGGAGATTGTTCTGTTGGAAACATGAGTAGAAGTATCAGTACGGAATACAAAGAAATATCTCCACCTACTAGAATTCTATGTTGATAAACATTTCGCTGAAGCAGATTAGAAATCATTTCTAAGGTCTAATACTGAAGTCGGGCGCTTAAGATAGTATAACGAGACACCCCCTCCCCCTATTCGTTCAACAGTATGACATCAAGCCATTGGCTTTTCATGTTTTTACTGAAAAAAATGTCAATGTAAGATTAACTTAGCAAAGCGACACTAGCTATTTTCTCCTAAAACACAGGTTCTATTATCGACTTTTTCCAGGTGGATTTTGACATAAACAACTCGAATAGAAGTTGTCATTGTTATTATGCTAAGGGAAATGACAAGCTACACAAAAGTAGAAAACATTGCCAATTATTAGGCCTTAAACTACTAAAATGAGATCACATTCGAGCATGCGCCAA